CCGGCTTCCTCTGCATTAAAGCCAGGTTGAGTCAGGAGTCACAACACAAATGATAAGAAGAGACATTTTGTCCTTTAACATAAATCAAACAACTTTGGGAGCCGCAACATTTTATGTCCAGTATGTCTCAGTATGTGTTAATGTCCTAGTATAGACTAAACAATATAAACAAGAGCTCAGATTTACTTTGCTGTGCTTTAAACTTTAGCCGCTTTCCTCCCCTCTCCCTCAGGAAACTTTTCTTCAAAAGTAGAGCAGCTTATTGTAAAATGTCTCAGCGTTCCACTGTTTTACGAGGCTGAAGTCGCTTCTTATTCTCCAGCTTCTTATTCGAATTTTTCCGTCCCACCTTAAATTCAGACTGAGCGGCCGAATGTAAATGCGGCACCATTTAAGGTGGAACGGGGAAATTCGAAAGAGAAACTGACTTCATCTTCGTAACTTTTTACTGTTTGACAGTCTCTCGTTGCAGATTTAACGTACCCGGAAATCAACTGCGCTGCTTATGAATGCGAATAACGCATCGTTGCTATGCGACCTGCAGTCTGCGGAGTCGTTGCGAAACAGGGCTTTCGCGCTATGTTGCACACGACCCGTCTCGAAGATATTTCACTGACACAGCGACCCCCCCGTCTCTACAACGAACAAGACCAAAACCGAAGTGATAAAGTCACTAAAGAAAACGGGCAGGACGGCTGTAACGTGCTACGTGGTCATCCACTACCACTGGATCTCATTTCACCGTAACTGCGCATTTTATCGCAGATGAGTGGCAGCAGCGTCTCCAATCAAGAGCAGTGAATGAGAGCCTTCTATAGTTCACTTGCCACATCACTTCCATTTGACTTATTAATAAAAGATATTGCAAGTAAATTCATTATGGATCATTACAAATACTTTGCTTTAACATTACCAAGTCCTCAGACAGTAAGAAAATAGAAATGCTGTATAGAAAAATAAGATGCATCGATAATCCTTTTACAATCGCATTGCAGCCCTCTGAATCGTAATCGAATCAAATCGTGAGGTGCCTAGAGATTCCCACCCTACTGGTTACTTACCTTTTTTTGTTTTTTTGTTTTTTAGCTGCATTATTTTTTTTTACAGTGTAGTGGTGTGCTTCTAAAACAATACCAACCTGCGAAAAGATCTCCTGTGTCATATCATTTGAGTATCCAGATACAGAAACTAGGCCATAGTCTTCACAAAGCATTTACATGACAAAGAAAGCCTAATCTCCACTCAGGCCCAAGTCTCTACTCTTTTGATTCAAAAAGGCCACCACAGAATGTTGGCACAATGCTCAGCGTTTCCTGCTGTGACGATAATTATTTTTCACACCTAATGATTAGACACACCAAGCGGCCACTTCATTGAGCACCTCCTTGTTTCTACATTCATTTCATCAGCTTCACTTACCATATAGATGCACTTTGTAGTTCCACAATTACAGACTGTAGTCCATCTGTTTCTCTGCATACTTTGTTAGGCCACCTTCACCCTCTTCTTTAATGGTCAGGACCTCTACAGGACCACCACAGAGCAGGAATTATTTGGGTGGTGGATCATTCTCAGCACTGCAGTGACACTGACATGGTGGTGGCATGTTAGTGTGTTTGTTGTGCTGCTACGAGTAGATCAGACACAGCAGTGCTGCTGGAGTTTTAAAACACTGTGTCCACTCACTGTCCACTCTATTAGACATTCCTACCTTGTTGATCCACCTTGTAGTTGTAACGTCAGAGAGAATAGCTCATCGGCACAGTTTGTGTCAGTCATCCTCTAGTCCTTCATCAGTGGCCACAGGGTGTTGCCCACAGGACATTGTTGGTTGGTGGACTATACTCAGTTCAGCAGTGACACTGAGGTGTCTGATCTACAACACTTTGCTCTGTTGTGGTCCTGTGGGGGTCCTGACCATTGAAGAACAGGATGAAGGGGAAATAACAAAGTAGGCAGAGAAACAGATGGACTACAGTCTGTGACTGTAGAACTACAAAGTGCACCTATATGGTAAACTGACCTAAAAAAAATGAGTGTAGATATCAGGAGGTTTACTTAATGAAGTGGCTGGTCAGTGTACATTAATAATATTATTTGAGGAATGTCAGGAAATAGTTCAGAGCGTACTGAAAGGAAAGAGAGAGAAGTTATCAAGTTACCCTTTTAAAGTGCAGTTCAGTGGGTGAAGTGTGAAGTGCGCTTTGAAACTGCCAGAAAATTAGGGCTATCGCCGAAGTCTGTGCAGATGGCAGAACAATTAACTCTCAAGTTTCGGGATGAAAGAGAAGTTTAACTCAACGCAGATATCTTGAAGTAAGGAGCATAAAAATACAGCATACGCATTCACTGGGCAAATATGGTCTGGGAAAAGACCCATTAGGGCTTTAAGTCAGGGAAAATAAGCACAAAGGAGGAGAAGGATTGTAAAATGTGAGGCTCTAGAAACGTTACGAGGAACAGGTGATGGAGATTTATGCTGCACTTAAGACAGAAGGGCAGGAAAGGAGGCCATTCAGCAGCGTGTGTAGAACTGCTCAGTGATGGTTAGAAGTAAAAACGGCTTCATGCCAACCAGACATTAATTCCTCTCTTAAGACACTGACAGGGATGTGGATTGTACAGCCAGTGAGTTTGTGTTTGTTTTCACCTACATATTTTCTAAATACTTACCGGACAAGCTTGCAAAAATGTTATAATGTGGACTGCTGCTCAGTTTACTACTGCAGTTCTGATGAAGCAGTGGCACACACTCAATAAGCTGGCAGAAACTGAAAATTCTACAGTGTGTGAAAAAAAAACCTGTATTCCCATTAAAACCACCATAAAGTTCAATAATGTTCACTAAAGAAAAACACCCCATTTAACTATGGACCCATAAAGTTAAGGACTTAAAGCTCATAAAGTGGTCACAGTAGTGCAGTAATTAATAGTAACTGAAAACAAAAGTCCAAGGAACAGCAGTTCACCATTAGTTCACAGTCGACAAAAACTGCACCTTAGACTTACTTCTCTCTACTGGAGCTAGAACACAACTGATCATGTATATTTTTATTTTTTACTTGCATGTACCCAAGGTACTGAATGCTAAAACCAAGTTCAGTGGGTAAGTTGATTTTCAAAAGAAGGCTTTTCAAAATAAGTCTCAACTTTGTTAAGAATTATGTGGGAATTCCACTGACTTTTCCAGAAGTCTGCATTATTAAATGTAAATAAGAATGTGAACAAAGTCATTCAGAGTGGTTTGATGTGAAATGAGCCATTCTAGAGAAACCTAGAGTCAAAACTGTTTGCAATGGTGGTGATAGGAACCAGATCTCTGAAGTGTTTAATGCCTTTTTTTTTGACACACATAAGCTCACTTATCCTTTTGAATAGCACATATGTGCACCGTAGACATAGTGACCCCTGGTTCCGATCACCACCACTTTAAAGAAATCAGAGTCAGTGTCTCTGTAATGCACCATTTCACACCAAACCACTCTGAGTGACTTCGTTTACATCTCAACGACTGTATTATGCAAAAATCTATGAAATGTCTATCATCATGAAAATCATATATGAAGGTTACTTTGGCCTTCATTAACTCATTTACACACTTACAGGTAGGGCTATCCAGTCCTTATGGCCCATCTCTCTGAGCAAGCCACTAACACTCTAACCTACTTTCATTTCCCCTGTCTGGAACACTGTCCTCTTCCTGAGCCAACAACTTCACTCCTGTCTGAGTGATCTGGCTGTGGATACTAACTTTGTGCTCCAGGGCAGGAGACCTCCCACTTCTCAATGCTTCAGAGTTAACTACAGGCTGGAATACACACAGGCCACAGCCTATAGAGCTCCATTACCATGTTTATATGTCTGCATTACCAGTTTCACCCTTCTGACTCTTCACAGGACCTTTGCTCAGGACCATGTACTGTGGCATAAAAGCCCAGAATTAGAGGAAGCATAGCTTTTAGTTGTTGATGTGTACACAGTAACCAGGAACGCCCATGATAATACTTATGTATAACTTCTGCATTTTCCCTTTTTTAGTTTAATGTAACCAAGTACAAAAGCCTTTACCAAAGGCAAAACGTCCAAAGAGGAAACAACACCACCCAGTGCTTCTGAAGTGAGCAAAGAGTGTGTGTTAGATGGATGAAGTGGGTTGCTGCTGGGTGGACAAGGGAAAGGATGTTTTTCTTTCACTCTCTCACACAACTCGCCTGGCAGTGTTGAAAATGGACTAAGAGTAGACGTATCATCCAGCCAGTTCCAGCCAGCTGTTAAAAATAAACCCAAAAACTGACACCAAGGCTCTTAGGTTCAGTGAACATCCTGGAAATTTGTTCTGCATTCTCCTCCTTTAAATAAACAAACTTTTTCATATTGCATTGCACGCTTGGCAGTTTTCTGCTAGTAATAATCTACTTGCATAATGTTTAACAGAGGTTTTGCAATAAATCTGAATGCAGACATTGATTTATAATACAACTAAATTCATGCATTCATTGCATTCAGTGTATTAAACATGAGGACTGGTGTTTATCTCTAATATCCTTCTTTTATATAAACATGGAAGCATATACAATTTTTTTCATTCAGTAAATGAATAAATATGTTCTACTTAATTTTGATAGCTCCCTTTAGATTATCTACAGATGTTCAAATTCTTAAACTACCTGCAGAAACTTTTTTTTTTTATTTTTTTTTTAACAGAATTAGGGTTAGGATTAGGACCAGGGTTAGGGTTAGGACAGGAGGTGAATTAGTTGAGTGGGAAGGTTGAATGCAAGTTAAACGAAAGGCGAGCATCTACAGCTATCCAAATAAAAATGTAACCGAAATACATGAATTTTCCATTTACAATGACCCCTCACCTCCTGGTGGACGAGTGACAGTTTGGTCATCATTGAAGGCTACTATTAAGCCTGTCACAATCATAACAATCGTGATTAGCATGATTTACACTGATCACAATTATTCAAGCAGACTGCAAATATTTTCCATGGTTGTTAGCTTTCACAATTGTATGTTTTATATAGCTACAAACATAATATTAAACATTCATTAAGACACATCATGGTTCTTACAAAAACAATAAAAGTTTTAACATTTGACTTGGTGCTATAACGCCTTTAGAGGGCAACAGTGGTTAGTGTTTGTTTATTTGTGCTTGAGCTGTTCCTGTCATCAGTTAGGAGCTACTAGGCCAGATATGAGAACGGATATGAGGCTAGATTTGCCAGCCAACCAATCTGGCCACTTTAGGGTTGTACTTTAATAGTTGCAAACAACGAACAAGAAAGGACAAATTGTTAATCGCAATTTTAGATTAAAAATTTTGGGAAAAGATAGAGAGAGGCCTAGCTACTATAATTAGAAGTAGTTTTAAAACAATGCAGCTGGATTGAGCCTGGCAGATGAATATTGATGATGTACATGTCAAAAAGTCAATTTAACACTACATTTAAAAGTAGGTGAAAACAGTACTTTTCATATTATTAACGTTTCTCAAGGTTCAGTCCTTTAAACATACCAACACAGCCCATAGACACTCAAACACACCATTAATGGCGTTACATGACTTCATATCCGGCTGTTACACACCCTGATTCATTTCCCATTATTTATTTCAGGCGGCCACACACACAAAAGGGACCAAACACTCATTAACTCTCGACATCCACACCCTCTTCAAAGAGCCTAGTCACTGCAGTCTTAAGCTTCATAGGCCTGGCTTCAGGATTTACTAAATCATGTTTTTCTTCAGGAATGCAAAAGCAGACTTGAAACAGCCTGAGTTTAAGGAAGAGGAAGAGGTGGATGTGCTTTCACTGCATTGCAGAAAAAAAAGCCCAAAACAGCCACCTCTTTATTCTTCTGCAATTTAACAGCTGATTAATCAAGTGCCTGGTTTTTAACTGAATATGAACTACATGTATGCTACACTGTTTTGTCCAAATTCCACAGTGGAAGGTTTACAGCCGTGAATCTGTTCTTTGCATATTCCTTCTCCACTGGGATGGGTGCGTGAGATGGACTTGTCGTACCACCCCAAAGTGGCCCTGATTCAGTCCTTCACAAATGAAATATGACACTCTCTCGATGATCAACACAGTGTTATTGAATTTGCACTGAACACTTGGAGACCTACAAATGAGAAAATGTGCAAATGCAAGGCAGGTTAAAGCACACAAACTAGTGAATGTTATTCTTATTTCTCCACTTTTATAAACTTGAATCTAATATACATTGTGCAAAACAAAAAGGTAAGAAAGTTATTGCTCTGTTAGTACCAAACATATCACCAAAATATGTTCTCGTAATGTTCTCGTATAACTTTATACACTTCAAGAGACTGAATGCTGTACAGGTGGTAAAATTATTTCCTTCAGTTTATGATGCAGAGGAATCTGAAAGGCACTCCTGTTACAAATAATGCAAGTACACATAATCAATGCCTCATTTGTCTGTACAATGCAATGCACACTGCATCTCTCGTAATATGGAGGGTTTGTGGTTAGAAATGTAGAAAAGTTAAATTGGCAAATCCACTCAACCAGTCCATGATAGGGGGAAGTCCATTTACTCTTGCAGCAAAACTCTTCATTTGTCACATGGGCATTTTTAAAGAAACTATCTGAGCTCATTCTGCAAGTCCTCCTTATCAAGAAGAAGAGTAAATGAGCATAAGCAGTCCAGTACGTTGGACAACTGGAATTCAGTCATTAGTCCACAAAAAAGGACCACCCAGAAAACACAACCAGAACAGTCTGTAAGGGCAACAACACAGTTTGTTAAAGTCTTTCACCAAAAGGTCATGCCTGTTCTCCACCATTAAACTGTAAACAATGCCTACTGGACCGGTCCTGCCGTGTCCCCAACCACGAGCAGCAGGTAAGGGATCAGTGGACTCCTCCATTGTATGACTTGCTGTACATTTGGAAAACTGTCTCCACTGGGTGAGTGGAGATGGGCTGCTTGTAGAGGGGGTTGGAGGCCTGGGAGGAAACGAGGGATGGACAGAGAGAAAGAAACAGAGAGGAAACTAGGTCAGATGGGTTCATTGAAATGCACATGGTCGTCGTGCAGACCAACCAGAGGCTTTGAACTAGAGCCTTGGAATGATTGCCATGACCGATTTGTTCTCCCAACTGACTGGAGCGATCCAAGACAGCTTATGGTTTCAATCAGAGTGTACTGTTTTTGCCCGATTCAGTATTTAAAGCTGGAACTTCAAACTGTTTACATTTAAGTGTCTGACAAACAGTATGGGGACATTCCATTGTGGATACGTCAAGCAAAGCTCAACTGGAATGTTGGGAATGATAGGAAACGAAGGTAAAACCCTTTTTTTTAATTCATCTGACAGTTGGTGTTCATAGTGCTTTTTGCAGGGAATCACTCATTCACTCGAACAATTTTATTAAGAATCTAAATAAGAACTGAATCAACACAAATCACAAAAATTCAAATTAAGTTCAATTTAACTGTACTAGCCTTCTCAATGACTGATTGGATACAGACATTAATAGTGGCCTTACCATCTCATATCGTGCACGTGAACGTGCGCTCTGGAAGCGAGCAAATTCGCGCCGATCGTGGATGGTGATTACCAGCTTCCAGATGGCCAACAGCACAATGCCCACCAGCAGGATACTGCCCACCACTGCCAACAGCACCGTCAGAGCATCAGGGGCAGAAGCACACTCTGAAAAGGCAGACATGCATGCTCAGATCAGTGACGACGTGTATGTGTGCAATTTAATCACTCATTTGCATGTTTACTGACACTGAATGTTACAAAAAAAGACAGAAAGGCCCACACTTACGGAACCAGCAACAGCCTGTGTGGAACATTTCATGACTTCAGCTCTGTATTGTATTTTTCTCCTTCCTCTATCCCTGAGTCATACCATTAGCTAATTATCATTCCCTTCTTGAACTGAATCAGGTGTAGCTCAGGGGTACTATGAATTGAGAACGACTACAAGGGAAAACACAAAACTATGCAGTGCAGGGGGGCTCTGGGACTGGAGTTGGGAAAAACTGGCTTAACAACAATGTAGTTAAAGCTTTTTTATATGTGCATAAAAATGTAAAATCTTTTCAATGTCATCTGTGCTTCATCATTCCATTTCTTTCAGAACATTAACAGGAGTGGGAGAGAGTCTAAGGCTGGCAGCTGCACACTGACCTGGCTCCTGCAGAGCAGTGAGGACAGACTGGCCGCTGGCATGCTCAGAGTAGGTAAACTTCATCACGCAGTCATTTTCTGTCTTATACAGGCACAGCACAGTGCTTGGGTCATCGGTGTCTGAAAGAGAGAGAGGAGGAAGTGGGGGGGGTGTGAGGGGTGGAGAGAGAGGGCGAGCAGTCTTCTCTCATAAAACAGCTGGCCAAGCCATGCCTGAGCCACAAGAGCAAAGGAAGAAAAAAAATAAATAAATAAATAAAAAAAAACCGCTCAGACCCTCAGATCCAAACCCACGAAAATGAAAGGCTTTCAGTGAAATCAATCCTGGACGGCAACTTGCATTCCATACTGAACACACTGATGTATCATAGCTAGAAGACAAGGTCTTATTTCTTTGGACATTTCTGAAGTCTTAAGGACTGAGGAGTTACTATGTCGCCTCCCATCTGCTCTACTCCACTGTGCTAGAATTTTCTGAAAAGGACATGTGGACTTCATTAGAGAAGTCAAATATTTGAAATATTTGAAAAAATATTGTGAAACAGCGACTCCATGTTACATTACTGTAACACTACAGACCAAGACGACACAGAAAGGCCTTAAAATAGATTAACAAGCGCCTTGAATCTTTAACTACAGCACTTCAGTCATGCATATAAGCATTAAAATGCACCAGGAGAATGACTTGTTAATACATTCCTAGACTTGATGTAAAATGCTTCCTGGAATAAAGCAGCTAATAATGTCAGGAGAGAGCTTGGTGCTCAGCAGAAACATCATGCTTACTAACAGTCAGTCACAAGAAGAGTGAAAAAAACCTGAATTCTTCAACTGCACAAATGCATATACATTATTACTTGTAAAACACGCTTTTCAATATAAAAATTAGTCAAAATATCACAGCAACACCTCATTCTTGTGATTTTTTTTTTGCTTTGCCATTGAAAAATGCCAGTTGCGCTTTACATTGTGTGAACACTGCATTTGTTCTTCTCCAATAAAGTTACCATTTTGAAGATATGTGGCTCTCATGATGGCAGTTTAATTTGACAATGCTCTGCAATTGCTTGTTATGGGGCATTAAGAGTAATATCTGGGATCTGCGTAGGTGTAGCTAAAGAGTTGTATTCACATGGGTTGACCTAAGTGAAGTAAGTGGCAGCTTTCACAGGTTCAACGTGTTATTATAGGCTGGCAGAAAATGACACAGGCAGAACCAACAAGGAAGGTCCAACCGTCACGTTTCTCAATGCTGTATGGTACATATGTAAAAACAGTGAGACTATTACATAGTCTCCTAAAGTACAACATCTATATACTGGGAATGACCAATGTGGATCACTGAACTCTTGATTACGTGCTGCCATCTGCATCCTTACTCTGAGATCAGTTACTCCCAAAACAACTGGGAGAAGAAAAACAGCACAAAATCAAAACCAGCAAGATGCAAACTGTCCAAGAGTGCAATTGTTTAACGCCTTGTAAGATGCTGAGGCCGTTCAAAGCAAATCAATGACGATCAATCAGAGCAGAGCAGCTGTAGCCTGAGTAAGACTTAAAACCAGGTTTAGGAAGCAGTTCTGATGAGTGGGGAGATTACAGCTGAATGACGCTGCAAAACTGTCTAGGCGTCACTGCTGAATTGCAACAACACAATTTACAAATCAACCACAAGTATCACTATCGATTAGTATTCTTCCACAAGGAGGAGGACATTGCAGATTCGAGTCCACAGATTGTATACATGTATATAACTGGGGAATTACTTGTCATGAATACATTTTACTTTACACAGAATAATAACTTTTTAAATAATAATAACATTAAATATTAAACTAGACAGGAAAAGGTATTTTTACGTTTTATTCACAAAGTATTTTTGAAACAGAAATTATAAAAAAGATGGTGTACTGCAATTTTCTATTCATCAAATTTTTTGTCATGTTATTGGCCCGAAGGTCTTGTATGGACATCTACAATTTTTTTTTTATTTCAAATTGGTGAACTTGCACAGGACTTAGAATCTTTGTATGCACACATACATTTTATATATATATATATATATATATATATATATATATATATATATATATATATATATATATATATATATATATATATATATATATATATATATGCATGCATGCATGCATGCATGCATGCATGTACTCTGCATATATCATTACAACTTTTACAACAGTTCAAAACATCTGTCTAGAAAACATAATGAAACCAATAATGAAATCTTAACAGCACTAAATATTAAAATTTTGATACAGAAATGTAGGACCAATATTACTACAGACTGCAAACGTCAAGGAGTAGACAACTTCCACCAGCGAACTTTATGACAGCACCACCGTTACTTAAAACAATGGCAGTCAAATATAGGCAAGCTAACTAGGGCTGGGTCCTCCGACACCATCCCAAACCTTCACGTGTCTCATGGATCAGCGTCTGTCCAGTGTTTACTGTATGGTTAAAGAAACAACTGGATGAACTTCCTCAAAACAATACTTAGACAATTACGGTGTATACAAATCTCTGTGTATTTACTCACTGAGTGTTTCCGTGGTTATGATCTCATCCTTGCACATGCGCTGGCAGGTTTGGTTATCTGCAAATTTCCCAGTGTTGAAGAGGCGGCACTCAATGCACTCCCTGGAGAAAGATATTCATCATAATCATAATCATCATCCACTGATCAGCATTCATTATACGGCTAGCGTGACAGGGCAGAGTTTAAAACCAGGTATTTAAATGGATCTCAGCCCCTGCCCCTGTCTGTCTCTAGAGATGCATGTAGGGACTATCAAGACTGATATGGAGGATTCTATTAACTGAACAGTAAAGCCAAGCCTAGGCCACTGAATGAGCAATGACAGCAGACGGTCAGGGTAATGACCTTGCTTTGATTTTCAAGGAGCAGAGGTCACCTAAGGAATGAAAAGCTTGTTCCCATCATTCAAGGTAGCATATGTTTGTAAAAAGAAGAAGTCAAAAGCACTGATCAGTGTGATTTAGGAGTGATGTAGAACATAAAATAAGCAATAAGTTCTAGGTGGTCCTAGGTCCTATGTTATACCATTGACATGTTTAATGTAAATTTTAGGACAAAAGTACATGTGTACCACTACTGAGTTACTGAAGCTGTGCAGTTAACTCTAACTATAGGCAAAGATCAAGATCCAGCAGTTTGACCAGACTCATTTTTTAAAGGCCCTATATAATGGAAAACAATTTCCTTGCTAATCAGAATTTGATGTAGTATGCAAACATTAGAAAAGATTCCAAATGTATCATTTACTTACCAGCTCATACAGCCCACATACAGAAATTAAGCTGCAAAATATAGCCCATTTTGAATTATTTCTTTGAATTAAGTATTTACATTATCCATCTATTCAGCACACAGCGGTTTAGCCAACCCATTCATGTTGAAGTTATGAAAAAAGTTTCAGCCTGGACTGCTTTTTGAATGAAGCACAATACAGCGCAGCCAGACAGAAAAGAAATCATTTACATTTATCAGCCTTGACGGCACAGTAACAAAAACAGCCTGTTTAATTCTGATTGGCTGGCCTGTACTATGTCTCATTTAGAAAGAGGTCAGGGATGAAACACTCCTAATAACTTCAGTGTGAATGGGTGGGGCCAAACTGCTGTAGGCTGAACAGCTGATTATATGTAAACATGTTGGTTTTTGGGACATCACAAAAACAATTAATTCAAAATGGGTTCTTCTTGCAGCTTTGTTTCCATATGTGGATGCTATATGGACTTGTAAGTGAACAGTACATAACAATTTTACATGCTTAGAAATGATATAGGCCCTGTATTATTCCTGACATCAGGCATGAAAACAGGCTCTGTGTTGTACCTCTTTGTAGCACAGGCATCGGGGCAAGTGGGGCACTTCTGACAAGTGTCCCCAAATGCCCCAGGCTCAGTGCACTGGCAGCGGCCACACACACAGCTGCCGCGTCCACTGCACATCCGGCCATCCTCAGACACACACGGGGCTGTCTCTGTGGAGCAGTTGCAGTTGTCTCCAATGTAGCCAGCATGACATTTACACTCCCCACAGTGACAATCACCATGACCTAGAGAGAGAGAGAGAGAGAGAGAGAGAGAGAGAGAGAGAGAGAGAGAGAGAGAGAGAGAGAGAGAGGATTCAAACAAAAGAGAAAGACACAGAATAAGCAGAGACCTATAGATATAAAACTACAGTAACAATGACCAAAGACATAAATGCATTTGCAAATACAGAATCTCTTGCATTTGTCCATTTGAACACAGCCTTAAAGAAGGGCACTGTATCTACTTGACCTACATTCTTTTGAGTTTAAAAAGGGCCCTGTCCAAAAAGAAACCACTGCCCACATTCCAGACCAGCACAGAACAACTGGAGGAATTAAATACAGTTCTCACTGAAGAACGAAAAGCTTTCCGTCTTGTGTCACTGCAACTAAGCATGTTCACGCTGAGCAGACTGCAGATGAATGAAGCATATTGACGTGTGTGATTGTAATGGACGCCTAAGGTCACTGAAGACTGATGGGGCAACTGATGTTATGGCGATGATAATCACTGTTCAAACACAGATTAGTCGTGGAGCTCTAACAGGCAGATCCAACAGTGCTGATGACGCTCTGAAACAAGACAAGCTTTCATGGCACAGCAGACAGCTACGATTAAAACTGAGGTATTGTGCCTTCTTTCAAAATCATTGGCTCAGTTTGTTCAGTAAGAGCATTCATAGATCAGTGACCTCAACACAGCTGCAATGCAAAACACCAGCATGCCAATAAGCTCAAGCAACCTGCCAGCTGTAGAACACACATTAGTTTCTCTATGCACCACCACCCAATAATAATCGTTTTCAGTCCTCATTTGAGCTTTAACTAATATAAAGTCAGTCCAAACTTGAACTTGTAGGGCTAATCTGGCCTAAAGTGGACACTACAAGGTTGGTTTCCCGGTCAGAGGGTTAAGCCTGGTCTTAGGCTACTTTTTTCTTTCAGTAGAGAATCTCCATTCAGAATGCTGTGTAATCCAAGACTAGGCTAAATCTTTGTCCAGGAAACCAACCCCATATGTCCAGAAGTGTCCAGATACACCTTCTAATGTGAATTCAACTACTTTAAGGTGCACCCATTGCTAACACATGCATTCAATTGGGCACAGACAGCTCCATAGAAAAAGCACTGTCAGTAGAATAGGATGCTCTGAAGCAACAGCACATGAGCCTAAAGACACCATAGCCAATGTCAAGTGTCAGAAGGGTATAAAGCCCCTTTAATTCTGTTCCTTTTTTCCTAGGTCTCAACATGGGCTTTTGTTTCTAGCAATATCTAAGCTCAGGACTGGCCTTCTCTCTAACCTATTTGTAACAAGCAAAGATACTTTCTCTAGGTAGACAAAGCACTTTTTGTAAGTCGCTCTGGATAAGAGCATCTGTTAAATGCTGTAAATGTAAATAATACAACTGCATTGTTCTAAGAGCTAGTTGTAAAGTGGCCCTATTGGCACCAGAACCTGGTTCCAGATGAAGACCAGAGCCGAACAGTCATTCAACAGCAGCAGCATCATCCTCTCACTTAGCATTAATTGAGGCTATGAGGGGTAGCTGCTATATTATGTAACATCACCTGCTGTGCTTCAAACGTGCTTTCAAAAGAAATGTATACAAAACAAATGTTCATTCAGAAATACATCTAGTGCAGTTCTTCATGAAAAGCAAGCAACAGGATCTGACACTTTCAGGGACTTGTTCATAGAAAGAGAGAAGGATTTATGCCATGAGTACAAGGTCAGACTGCTGAGATACATCTTCAAAAAAACTAGGTTGAATAAAGTGTTGCACCCCAGAAGCACTAATATTCTCCAAGCCTGTCCAACCCCAAGAGAACTCTTCTAGTCTTAAGTGGTTTAAAAATAATGTGTAATGTGCCTACAAATATGAAAACAAGGCAAACAACTGAGGCACTTTCAAAAGACAACCAGATGCTGCACCGAATTTTATACAAATTTCAAAAGTTCCATGGAAATTCACAGAAATCTAAGCTACTAAATAACTAAAGACTGTGCCTGATAAAAGCAAAGAAACTGAGGTCCCTGAAATGATAAACTTTTCAAACAAATTGGGATGCAAACACAACCAACACTGAAATAATTTATTCTACAGTTATCAACCTAGAAAACAGCCAGATGTGACTATTCATTTCCAATGGAGAACAGTACAGAAAACCACTGGACTGAAATCCATTACTAAAACAGTCAATTACATGGTAATTCCAGAGTGAATAAGACAAACCAACTTCAAACTGTCTTTTTGTTAAACTAAAGAGTTTTTCTACTTCAGATAGCTGGGTGCATTTTGGTCTATGTGGGTGATTTAAAGAGCTGGAAAAAGTGAACCTGGAATAACACACTGTGGGATGCAGTACGGCTCCACGCCCCAAAATGGACTCTCATATTTGCCAGTGACAGTGGACTGCAGACAGTGAGTCTTATTTAAGTGCACCTCCAACAAGAGCGTTGCTCCCTCAATGGTTTTCTCTCTTTTATTCTAAACACAAAACCACAGAAGACAAAGTCAGTTACTGCAAACCAACAGAATATGGCCGTTTAACATCTGCAGAGCAGAACTAGTAGAGCTAGCTAGGCAAAGACAAGTTCTCTCATGTTCTCCTCACACCTGTTTCCTTACTCTCAATCAAAAGAGAGACAGAATGCAGACAGAAGGAATAAAGACCTGAAATAGCTCTAAAATATTCACAGTAACATTTCCGTTGCAGGTTTTAACACGCTTACTACTAAAAGAATTCACCCTAAATGTTAAATCCGAGGAAAAACGCATAATACACTGCCACAAGGATAGAATTTTTAGCTACAGCCTGAAAATGATACAACAGTAACAACATAAATCTGAGGAAAGGGAAAGGCAAGCCATTTCTCACAGCATTCTGTACGCTGTCTGATTTAGGTCACTGAGTAATTGTGCATCACGTGCTGTTGCTGTGCCAGAAAAGCCAATCCATGCTGCAAAGCCTCTGGGAAAGAGACTTGCCACATACACAGTCAGAGCCACTACATTCACACATGAGGGAGTCCACAGCCACAGCGCCACTGAGCTATGGAAATTACAGCGGAGCTCAAATATCAGTTCGATTTGAGGGTGTAAAGTTTCACAGTAAAGATGAAGTGCTGACTGCTGAGTGACTGTGTTTAATGGTGCCTTCTCTAAGATTTAAAACACAGCTCCCTATGCGTAATGTAAAACAAACAAAACAAAATAGTCAGAAAATAAGATCATGATCAACATTTTAAATGAGATCGCTTAACACAAATACTCAAAAGGACAAACAAAAACAAGAAAAGTGTCAATTAAACTGAAAAAAAAATTTAAACAATCATAACAAAACCACTTGCCAATTATCTTTGGAGTATGTTTGCCTTTGGGGCAGTATTTTATTTCTTCTAAGCATCTAAAGTTCTAAAAATTCCTCAAAACACTGAGCTGTTTTTTCCAAAAAGTGCTGAGTAAAAACAGAGAAACAGCAGGCCGACATTTCTTAAAATGAATCCATTTGTGAATATTGCAGATGGTAACAGTCAGAGTTACTGTTAACAGTACTGCTCTAAACCTGACATGGGAAAGATAAGCAAAACACAAACATTGAGATGGCAGCTTTTCCTTAAAATAAACTCACTTTCCTCTAAAATGCTATTTTTGAAGTCTGGAATGCCTGATATACTTCCAGATATTTCCTGTAATAAGTCTGGGTGTGCATGCCTGTTCCAGTTTCATGCATGAGTCTACTTCCAACAAGAGCGTTGCTCCCTCAATGGTTTCCTCTCTTTTATTCTAAACACAAAACCACAGAAGACAAAGTCAGTTACTGCTGAAGGTCTGACATTGGTCCTTGACATAAGACTTCATGTAAAATTTGACAAAAATTCTCCTCACATTCCCTCAGCTATCAATAAAATCTATGCTCAGAAGAATCAATCCAGTCCCTGTGGCTGGCACAGACTCTAAAAGGAAGAAAAAATAAATTAAGTGGACCACCCACTTTCAACCAATCAGGTGGGCTGAAATTTTCAGACCACATGTGCCTTTATATACAACCATTTCCAAAAAAGTTGGGATGCTGTGCAAAATGTAAATAAAAAAAGAATGCAAAGATGGGAAAATAACTGAATCCTTATTTTTAATTGAAAATAGTACAAAGACAACCTTCTAAACAATGAGACTAGATTTTACAGCTTTTTGAAAAAGTACATGCCCATTTTGTATATGATGTCAGCAACATGTTTCAAAAAAGTTGTGACCGAGGTAACAAAAGACTGATAAAGTTGAGAAAAAAAAAAACAAAAAAATAACACCTGGTGGAACATCTCACAATTAATTAGATTAACAGGCAACAGGTCAGTAACATGACTGGGTATAAAAGAGCATCCCAGAGAGACTGAATCTTTCAGAAGTAAAGATAAAGAAGACTGCATGGGCAAATAGTGCAACAATTCAAGAATAACATAGTTCATTGATTCATTCACAAATGCAAGTTAAAACTCAACCGTGCAAGGAAGAAACCATTTATAAACATGATACAGAAACGCCACCGCCTTCTCTGGGCCCAAGCTCATTAAAGACGGACTGAAGTGGAAAAGTGTTCTGTGCTCCAATGAATCAAAATTTGAAATTCTTTTTGGAAATCATGGACACCGCATCCTCCAAGCTAAAGAGGAGAGGGAACAACCAGCTTGTTATCAGCACACAAGTCAAAACCAGCATCCATGATGGTATGGGGGTGTATTAATGCACATGGCATGGGTGACTTGCACATCTGTGAAGGCATCATTAATGCTGAACGATATTTACACATTTTGGAGCAACATATGCTGCCATACAGACAACGTCTCCTTCAGTGTCAAACCAAATTCTGAATGTATTACAACAGCATGGCTCTGCAGTAAGAGAGTCCGGGTGCTGAACTGACCTGCTGGCAGTCCAGACCTTTCACCACCGAAAACATTTGGCGCATCATGAAATGAAAAATATGACAAAGCAGACCCTGAACTGTTGAGCAGCTGAAAT